TTTAGACTGGATAATTATTGTGGAGGGCTGTTCTGTGTACTGGCCAATGTCTACCAGCATCTTTGACCTCTACAAACTAGGTCCAAGCAACACTCCTATACCTCAGTTGTGACCATCAGAAATGTTTCCAGAGTTATGTGTAGTGGTGCACTCCTGTAATCCTAGCACTTCAGGAGGATGAGCCAAGAAAATTGCAAGTTCAAATTTAGCCTGGGCAATGACTTAGTGAGACCCTGTCTCAAAATAAAAAATGAAAAAGGGCTGTGGTAGCTCAGTATGAAGGCCCTGGGTTCAAGTCCTGGGTTGAATCCCCAGTACTGGGAAGAAAAAAAAAAAAGTTTCTGGATATTGCCAAATGTCCCCTGGGGGCAAACCATAAGTAACCCAGGAAGCCTTTCTGATTTCTTCTTCAAACCCTTTGATAATCAATGCCTCCTAAAAGTCCATGTGTTAAAGGCTTGGTCCCTAGCTCACAGCACCACTGGGAGATGGTCATACCCTTGAGATGTGAGGCCTTATGGAAGGTCTGTAGGTCACTGGGGCAGTCCCTTGAAGGAAACTGTGGGACTTCAGCCACCTTCTTGCTCTCTTTTGCTCCCTGGCCATAGGGTGAATAGTTTTGCTATATCATGTGCTCCCACTATGATATTCTACCTAATTGCAGGTTCAGAAGTAAAGGGGCCAAGAAATCATGGCATGGAACCTAAAACTATGAGCCTAAGTAATATATGAGCTTCTCTCTTTATCTCTTGATTATCTCAGATATTTTGTTATAGTGATAGAAAGCTAATACCCAATTTGGGGCAGGTTGGAAAGCACGGGCTCACCCTAATCAAATATGAACTCAATTTAACTAATTATACCTGCATAATCCTATTTCCAAATGATGTCACATTTGGAAATGGTTCCAGGCGAACCATTCATACTTGAGGGGATACTATTCAACTCCGGGAGCAGAGCTAATGAGCTGGGTGGGGGGGCCTCACCCAAGTCTGATGCAAGCACAGGCTGAGCTTTGCTGCCACCACCTCACTTTAATCTGTGCTCTCTCTCAGCATAGCAGGGCATGACTATGACCTTCAAAAGAGGCCTACTTAGGCCAGGGATTTAGCTCAGTGGTTCCAGTACCTGCCTTGCAAGCGCAAGGTCCTGAGTTTGATCCCTGATACCAAAAACAACAACAACAAAAAAGAGGGGTACTTGCTATGGAGCAGGGTCTATCTCTCTGGGTGTGGGTTCTTGGACAGGTTTTTATCTGGTGCTTTGTTGCCTTTCTTTAAACTGTGTTTGTAAGAGACCACAATTCCCCATTTGTGCACACATTGGTGCCACTTACTTTCACTATGAGGTAGAAAACATCTATTTGTATTTTCCTCCCCGCCTCCCAACTCCCACATTTTTTTAATTAAAAAGCAATGCTCTCTTCCAGCTCCAGCACAGACCCTAATGTTATGGTTGATGTTTCTCTCCCTTTAAGGGCTTTCTTGGCTGTCCACTTTTCCTTCCTGCCAAGCATCCTTGACCCGTGGCAAGGGTTACAGCACCAATGACATCTCTCTCAAGAAGAGTGGTCTGAGGGGGGAAAAGCAGGGAGGGCGAGGAACAGTTGCCACCGTGAAAAACAGAGAGAGTCACACCAAAGGTCAATAAATACACCCACCGTGCTCTTGGCCTCGAAGGAAGACTGCAGATTAGATTTTCTGAGCTCAAAAAATCCCTTGAGAAACAGAGAAACAGTGCTTTCAAATATCTAAGAGCTCAGATTTAATGACCCAAAGTCCAAAGTCAGGTAGATAAAGAAAAGTGCTGTTCTTTGGGCTACAAGCTCATCCAGTGGTTTATGATATATTGATAACAGCAGGAAAATTTAGACTAATATAACTAACAACTAACTCGTAATCTTTGAAAGTCATTTACTTAAAATTCCATTCATTTTCCTAACCAGCATGTATTATACTGATATAAATTTATTTACTTTGCAGATGAATGTTTAGGATGCAAAACATTTTTCATCTTGGACAACATACTAGAATTACCTAGGGTTCAGATTTAATTGATCAACAGTTCCTGAGATTAAAACCTCCTCAGACAATCCCAAAGGGCAGCTCCAGTTCAGAACTATTGGTATAAAAAGTCAGGACTTTGGGCCGGGGATCTAGCTCAGTGGATCTGCTGCCTGCCTCAAAAGCACAAGGTCCCAAGTTCAATCCCTGGTACCAAAAAAAAAAAAAAAAAGTCAGAACTTTCAAAGGTCACTATTGCCCAGCCTATTTAGTATTAAGCAGTAAAAAAAAAAAAAAAAGTATATATATGGTCATATTGCTCTATCATTGTTTCTTGCATTAGGATGGAATACTTCTTACTTTTCAAATTGGCAGGACTGGAGCTTGGAAAGAGTGGATTTGGTTATACTAAATCTTCAATTTTTACAAATAGCACTGCTCTGGTAGACCTCAGAGGAGACAATGGTGACTTCCTACCCCTTCCACAGTGCAAGTTCCCTCTGAAGTTTCTCCTTCCTATAGTATCTTTCCCACTTTAGCCTGCCTATCTACCTTTGGGACTTCATCATGAGCCTCTCCATTCCTTAGCACCCTGGTACTATACACACAAGAAAAATGTTAACAGCGAATCTCAACTCTTAAAAGAACACGTTAGGTTTCTCTTCTGGCTGAAATGTGAGCACGATATTTTGGTTTAATCTAAGAATATAATTAATTAAGAAATGTGGGGCTGGGGATTTAGCTCAGTGGTTCCAGCACCTGCCTCACAAGCACAAGGTCCCTAGTTCGATCCCCAGTACCAAAAAAAAAGAAAAAAGAAATGTGTAGTGAGTGCTGGGGGGGGGGGGGGGAGGGAGACAAAAGCAACAACGAGAAACAGATAAAGAATTTCAATGTAGAGACCTTCAAATCTTACCCCCTACCTGTTTTAAATAAAGTTTTATTGGAACACATCTATGCTTTGTTTCTTTGTATTTAAAACATATTATATATGGTTACTTTTGCACTACAGTGGCAGAGTTGAATAGTTATGGCTTTGTCTGTCTGTCTGTCTGTTTATTGGTTGGTTGGTTGGTTGGAATTGAACCCAGGGTCTTTGAAACTACATCCCCAATCCTTTTTATTATTATTTATTTGTATACAGGGTCTTGCTAAGTTGCCCAGGCTGTGTATAAATTTGTGATCCTCCTGTCTCAGCCTCTCAGAGCACTGAGATTACAGGCATGTGCTACCATGTCTGACTAGCTGTGGCCTATTTTGCATTTGGCCTGTAAATTCTAAAATATTTGCTCTTTGACCTTTTGTAGAAAAGTTTGCCAACACTGATCTAGATAAACATCACACACACACACACACACACATGAAACATTTATGTTGTAGGCATTGTACCAGGCTCTAAAAGATGCATTTATATGAAACAGAGCTCCTGATGCTATGAGACCCACAGTCTAATGAACTGTACCCATTTCTCCTATGGCTATAATAATCATAATACATAAGCACCTAGAGGGAGGCCTGTGCAGTAATATAAAAGAAGAAGAGAATATTTGAAGCTACAAAGAGCCATAGGTACCTGGAATTGCCTATGAAATGCAGAGGCAGAGTCTAAACTGAATTAGCTGCAGATGAAGAGGGAAAGGCCTTGGCCAAATTGGAATAAAGAGGCAGGAAAGTCCAAACCATACTTATAGGGCACAAATGCCAACATAACTGCTTCCTAGGCATATTGGTGTAGTGAGGGGAAAAGATGTATTAATTTGTTCACCATCTGTCTCCCATGCTGGAGTGGAAGTTTTGCGAGGATGTGGACAATGCTTACATTCCTCAGCTCCATCTCTAGCATTTAGCAAAATAACTGGTGTATGGTGCTTGCAGAATATTCTTATTCTCAGGCCAGGGACTACTGGAACAGGCTCCTACCAGTCATTTTCATACCGTGTCCATTATCTCCTCTGGTTTCTTGGAGCCTCAGAAGGGTGCTGTGATCAATTCAGTAACACTGGAAGCAAGGACACAGCCTCCCTAACTGGCTGCAATCAGAGCAGTTCTCATTTTCTTACATGTTGAACTTCCTAATTTCATCCAAACAAACAGTGCCTGGGGAAATAAAAACACTTAGAAAACACTATACTGGACTACCACTCTTTCTAAAATAAAGCCAGAAAGTATGGTACCTATCCTAAATTCCATCATCAATTTGCTCTGGAATCATGTCAGTCACTTCTTCCTTCCTCCCCATGGAAGGTTGAATGACAGTGCTAATATCCTATCACATTTTCTTAACTCTCCAGAAAAAAAAAGACTAAATGAAAAGCTCATCTAATGAGTGAACATGGCTAGGCCACTTAAATAAAATTCTCAATAACATTTAACTTCATCAGTGGCAGTAAACTAGAGAAGTATAATTATTATGGAGCTCAGCAAATACAGTTGTCCCTCGATGTCCAAGAGGGATTGGTCCCTGGACATCCCCACCCCTCTGATGGTCAAGTCTCATATAAAAGAGCATAATATTTATATAGCTTACATACCTCCTCCACTATAATTGAAATCATCTTTAGATTATGTCCAATTTCTAATACAATGTCAATCCCATGTAAACAGCTGTTATGCTGTATTGTTTATGGAATGAAGACAAGGGGAAAGTCTGTATAGGTTAAGTCCAGACACAATTTTGGGGGAGGTCCCGGGGATCAAACTCAGGACCTTGCGCTTGCAAGGCAGGTGGTAGCACTACTGAGCTAAATCCCTGGCCCCCAGTCCAGATACAATTTTTAAAAATATTTTCAATCTGTGATTGATTGAATAAACAGATATGGAACTTGTGGATACAAAGGGCCAACTATAAGCATTGTTGGATGCCTCGGCTGATGCCTGCCAATAGCATCTAAAATTAGGATACAAATATGAGCCAATCTTTTGGCCTTGCTTCTAGTAACCAGCACATGATGGAATGCAGAATGTTAAAAAACAGTCCATAAGGGCAAAGCCACTTACCAAGAAAGATGCAACATATGAATATATTGATTCTCAAAGGGCTCATAACTGGAAACAATGCCACACTCATCTATGGCTTGACCATTCTTATACCAGGTGACCTCTGGCTTGGGCTGACCTGATAATAAAGAATTACAAATATTCTTTTTACTTTAAGTATTTTTAGAAAAAGGTATAAATTTATGAACAAGAACAGGTAATAAGGAACAAGGATAAGCATGGTTGGTTATGTCAGATGAGGAATTAAAAAGCTTCCTCTCACAAATACAAATGTGTGATTCAGTAAACACAATTGGTCACATTATGTGCCTAAGACAGTGTTGTGCTGGGGAGTGGGAATACAAAATGAAAAATGCTGTCTCATCTCAAGAAAAATTGTTCAGTAGGCAAAGATATGGATAGTATCTTTTTTTTCAATGTCATCTGGAACAAAGGATCATCCAAGAATTATATTGGGGAATGTACTTCATTTCATTCAATGATTACTACTAATTAACGTTCCCAGATTTAGTGATATTATATGTTAAATTGTAGCTTTTTATCCAATAGAGTTGCAAATCATTTCTGGCTAGCATAAAAGGCAACCCATAAGTAGTTGACTGCTCAACAGGACATTGAACAGTATTACACCTAACCTAACAACTTTATTCTAACATTATGAAATAGCATATAAATACCTAGCTTCTCAGGCTTTAATACACTGTGGTTCTCTCATTAATTAGCAAGTTGAATAAAATTTTTGAAATGTTAATTCCATATTTCCATGGAAACCAATTTACTCAAAGTTGAGTATATGTTATGGTACCAAAGAAAACAAGGTGGATTAGAAGAACAGAAGTGCCATTTTCTACCTGAGGCAGAGGGATTTGGGTGTGTAGATTTCCCCAAGATCATGCATATGTGACTAATGTCATGAGAGAAATTGACATACATTTCCTCCCTCAGAAGCAGGTCATCCTTCCTAAACCCCTGGGAATTTCATCCACCCCTTGGGATTTTTTTCCCTTCTATTACAGGGCAGGAAAGTTTTCAGTGTGTTCCAAAGAACTTTCTCACTAGCCTCTTTGTCACCAAGAATTTATCCAATTATGTCACATATACAGGAAGGAAAGTCCAGTATTTGGAAACAATACACCATACTGAATCCATCCCAGGAATATTCTTATGTTTTTGTCTTATTTAGGGTATAGTTTCTGGCAAGCAGCTCAAGAGACCACTAAGATAAGAATCCCTATTCTTCTGAAGCCATCGGAAAAGGAAAACTAAAAGAGGTCAGGAAGGTGACAAGGAAAAGCCAGTAAGACCTGTACCATGGGTAGGACCTAAAAATGCTGAGTCCCTCTCCCTGCTTCTCTCTGTGCCAATGCCATGAATGTGCTTTTTGGCACTTGGGTTCTTCCTTCTTACCTCCTCCTCCAAGTAGATACCTGAGTAGCTGTCCCTGGGGCTGGGAACAGAAAGACTAGCATGCAAGGACACATCCTTCTCCAGCAGCTGCTTTTGCCTGAGCCTTACAAGCAAGTGACTAAACTGCCCAAAATGAACTTCCCTGAAAACCCATCAAAGACATTGCTGATCATATCTTATTTCTGCCTGTACTTATCAGCCTTGTGCCCCCATTTAGTCAATGTTTATTCTATTCCTACTGAGGAAGATTTAATCGCTCCTTTTGTGCCTTCGTTACTTTTTTGAAGAAAGTACAAAAGAGGTGTGATAAGTAGGCCCGGGGAATTCATTCTGACTTCCCAGGCTCCAGTTGTTCATTCTGACTGATCAGGGCTGCTTGATTCTCCCTGGTTTCTTAAAAGCTGACAGGTTTTTTTCCCTTTTGTGTGGTATAGACCTGAACCATCAGCCTGAAATGAGACTTATATAGGGAAGTGGTATCTTGTACCTTGTGGGTGGTTCTTTTCTCCCTACACTTGCTGGAAACCTCACCCGCAAATTCTCCCCTTGTTTTTTAGTTTTTTAGGGGTTTGTGTGTGTGTGTGTGTGTGGTATTGCAGAATTGAACCCAGGACCTTGCACATTCTAGGCAAGCACTGAGCTGCATCCTCAGCTTTCTCTTCTTGTTTTTTGAGCTTCCTTACAAGAGTTTTCTGTCTGCACTCAGGAAATATCACTGGTGCCTTCACACGTTCAAGGTATATTCTCCAAGCCAGGGGAAATTTGAGTTCTTGGCTTTCTCTCCACTGAGTGACTTTTACCCTGGTTTTAACCTTCCCACCATTTACTAGCATGCCCAAAGAAGGCAAGCAGCAGGAGACAAATTTAGCCAATCTGGGGATATTAGTTAAAGAGTAATAGAAAAGTCCAACTCATTTCCTTGAGTGAAGTTATTCATACCATCCCTGTGTGTCAGGGGAAGTGAAGAATAGGTTATGTGAAAAATTAACCAGTGTAAGAGTTGTCTAACCAAGAACCACAACATGAAATGAGGAAAATCACTAAACAGTATCCAGGAAGTCACTCAAAAAAAAAAAAAATCATAGAGGATTTAACTGCTTAACTGATTACTCAGAATAAACTTCCAAGGTAATTTTCCTAAATGTTGTTTTTCACAATGCCTTTGTGAGCCCAATAACCTGGTCTGCAGGAGGTGTTACAGGGTGAGTAGCTAGTCTAGTGATGATTACCAGAAATCATGCAGCGAAGCACAACGTCTGACTTCTCAGGAACCTTCTGGGAAAGCAACGTAGACAAAAAACACAGCCTGTGACTCTGGGGCCCTTCGGAGTCTGTCATCCTTTCATATCACACAAATCTGAAAAATAAACATGCCTGGCATCATCATAACTTCTAGGATTGTTTCAGCCTCCCTGGGATTTCCAGAACCGTGTGGTGTGGCTATGTCACCTACACACAGGCCTGTGGACAGGCAGAATGTCCTGGGGCAGCCTTCCTCAACCACTGTGCTCGTGGCACAGTGCTAGGGCTGGGCTCTGCATTGTAGGACATTTAGCAGCATCCCTGGCCTCTTCCCCCAAGGCACCAGTAGCACTCCCCAGCCCTCTAGGCATAGCACTTTCAATGTCCCTGGGTAGAGTGGGGACAAACCCAGCTAAGAGTCTCTAGTACTATAGTGCTCAGGACAACCAGAGCCCAGACTGAGAGGGAAGAATTGCACAAACCTATAGTTCATGCGGCTCATCTTTTTTTTTTTTTTTCTTTCTCTCCTAAAAGTCTTTTCATATTGGACTCAAAAAGGTATGTGTCATTGGTCCTAAAAGAGGAGTTGACTACATTCAAGTAAATTTCCAGAAGGGGGATATTTTGAAATTGAGAAACCACTGACCCAGCTGCCACAAGGGAGGGGAGGGCCAGGGCCTGCATTTTTGAGTGAGATTGCATTCACTGATAGAAACAGGCATTAAGCACTTGATTGGTCATGAGATATATTACTCCATTTAATCAGTCTTAAACTACCTAGAGGATGGTTATTAATACCTCCTATACTTTACAGATGAAGAATAGGAGGTTCAGAGGGGATCATCAACTTGTTAAAGACCACAATGCTCAAGTGACTGCCAAGCTGAGGCCTCCCTCAGGATTGTGCTGGCTGACACTTTTAGCACTGAAAGGCCACTGGGCCTGTGCAGGGTACAACTTGCATGATCTGAGGCTGGCCTAAGAAGGCAGGTTGGTCTAAATCCAGAGGACCTTCCTTCCCACTCTGTACCACTCAGCCAAGTCCATCTTTCATGGAGATCAAGCTGGGAAATCACACTTAGCTCTTTTCAAACATGTAAAGTCCCACTTCCCCTTGCCTTGGTGAGCAGCACTCACATATCACAGAGATCAAAAAAGGGAAAAATCACACTGTGGTATGGCAGGTGGGCAAAAACAGGGAATCAGCTTTTAGAAACTACAAATGAAGAGTCTGGGGATTCTGGGGGCTCTACAACAGAAGCCTGAGCTAAGTTCATGGTAGGAGAAGCCCATCTAAACAGCCACAATTATGAAGCAAAAGGGGGAATCCCTTTCCATGTGGCATCAGTGACAGCTCTTTAACCATATACAACCAGATACTGGCCCTGTTTCCTTATATGTAAAAGAAAATAATGACAATGTTCTAAGTATTAGAATAATGTATGTCAATTGCCTTGTACGTTTCTATTACATAATTGGCTCTCCTAATAGTATAAGGAGGCTTTAAGGAAAGACTTCACTTATTTCATCAATTTCCTCTTCTGCTGTGGCTTACCACAATGATTTTTTTAAGTGCTATACCAATCAATGGGTCAACACATCTCCTGGAGTAAGTATAATTTATAGACCATGACTCCTCCCATCTTTCTCAAGACCACTGCTGTGGATGACCAAGAAAGAAAGGGCACACCACGATATCAAGAGCTGGGCTGACAAGGGAGGACCCTGTGTGTCATCTGTGACTCTTCCCTAGATGACCACTTCGAGACAGTGTTGCCCCACATGTGAAAATTCTGACACACACACACCGTTATACACATGGCAGTCATAGGGCACTGACTACTCTGGAAAGGAAAGGGATAGTTACATCAGGCCGTGTTTCATGCTTCATAGCTTCTGTGAAGGTGTGAAGGCTTGAAGACAGATTTATCTTTCTGCACTAGAGATGATGATGAATCGATACGGAATTATTGGTGCTGTTAGAGGGGAACGTGGTGGGCTTCACAGGTACCTCAGAAAAATGATGTGTTAACCAGAGAGATCACTGGATTTCTCCCCCCGCCCCGTCTCTTCTTTTAGCTATATGGTCTAAGGTAAGTTTCTTATTTTTAATAAAATGTATATGCCTATAATTATACAGATCCTAAAAGGACATCCGTGTTGTTAAAAAGACATATAATAGGGGCCGGGGATTTAGCTCAGTGGTTCCGCCACCTGCCTTGCAAGCGGAAGGATCAGAGTTTGATCCCCAGTACCAAAAAAAAA